TAAGTGAATATGCGAGGAGCATGAAGCTAAGCGATACGTAGTACATAGCGAGCGAGCGATTAGAAAGAGACAGAGCGTATGATCGAGAGAAAAAAGATACTGCAATAATGTTAGTGCGTACATGTATATTACTCTCACATACATGAAAGAAACGAAGATAATACGACTATGTCTGTCTTTGTCCTGTACGATTGCAGCTCTGTCTATCGCGACATCGCGGAACTAATCTACTGCTCTGTTTTACTCTTTTGCCTCAATCTCGCACGCACACATATGCATGAAAGCATTTCGAGTGAAAATCTTTTTTACGAGATTAATAAACTTATTTCTAAGAGTTCACTAATACTCCTTCATGTTATCCCGAGGCGGGGAGCTATATCTTGTGCACGAACAAACTGCAGAACTTTTATATTAAATAAATATTGTTACGACTTGACGCAAGAAGTCGATAACAAAACTGTAATTGTTTAACTTTTCTTTGATTTGTTATATGAAATATAGCTCCCCGCCTTCGTTATTATCAATACTTTAACTGTGGAAAAGGATTTATCAATCTGTGTAGCCAAAAAAAAGATTTTCACTTGAAACGACTTTCGCGTTTTGTCGGTAATTTTGGATCCCCTTAACGATAAACTACATTTACTATATGAACTCGAATATACATCTTAGTCACGATTCAAAGAAATATATACTTGTATTATGCACTATCATGCATTGCCTGAAGATAAATACGTACGATAATAGGCAGATGTATGGATGTGTAGATCGAATTCCAAAGTACTGTCTCTGCTGTTTTTGCTTCTCCTGACGAATATATATATCCCGCGAGTGAACGAGACGAGCAGAGATATTATTATGCCAACTTTGACGAATCTACCGCCGATAGCGAGGCTGTCCAGCAAAGTCATCCGGATTCTAGGATGCAATCCTGGACCGATGACGTTACAGGGCACCAATAGTTATCTCGTAGGCACTGGGCACAGGTGATAAACGTCAATCATGTGTATACAATAGACAAGTGTCATGTTCGTGACATTTCTTGCGGACCGGTTGATAGATTTTTTAGGAGTCATTTGATAAAAAAAAAGAATAAATATCCTTTTTATTAATTAGTAAGCTTGAAAATATTGAAATCTACATTTAAATTTAATAAAATGTCAATCGTACTAATTGAATAAATATTGAAACTAATTGAAATAAATTTGAAGCTTGTTAATCTGTCTATCTGGAATTTATAAAAAAAGAACTTTTTTTTTGTATGAAAAACAATGTCAATTAAAACTGTCATTGTTTTATGTTCGAAATTAAAAATGGAATAGAACTTTTTTTTAGGTTAGATGTCAGATCTCAAAAATTTGGTGTAATTCAAATATAAAGAATAAAAAAGTATTTTTTCCGGCTATTACTAAAATTAAAAAGACCAGGAAGAATTATAATAATTACAAATTATAATAATATTGACAATAAATTATCCCCATTATATATACGCAATCAAATTTTAAACAATTGAGTAAATAATGTTAAATAAATTACAAATCAAAAAAATGGATACTATTAAATTAATTGTGTATCTTTTCAATAACAAAATGTCTTTATATGCTTTGAATAATTATTGTAAGAAACTGCTGTAATATTCTGTCCAAAAAATTTCTCTTTAATCTATTAATGATAGAAAGATCACAAAAGAGGAATAAGTGAAATATCTAATGTCGAAACAAGAACTTACCATATCGTTCTTGTTTTTAAAAGCAAATTAATCTCCTTTCGAGTTATTCATTATTGCAGACGTGTATTGGTCGATTCAACGGAAACCAAAACAGCTGACGCCTATACAAAGCTTTTAAAGAATGTTCTAAACGAGGAAAAAGCTATCATCGAGCACTTGGTGATCACCCATTGGCATCATGATCATATTGGGGGAGTGGAACCTGTGCAAAACTTGCTGAAGAAGTTGTTTCCCTCGGACAAGCAGCCCACTGTGTGGAAACTGCCGCGATCGTCAAACCAGGAAAAATCGGATGATGAGAAGTCCATCCAATGGGAATCTCTAAGGGATGATCAAGTGGTGGAAGTTGAAGGAGCAAAGCTCCAGGTGAAGTATACGCCAGGACATACTAGCGACCATGCTTGTCTGCTGTTGCAAGATGAAAATATCCTATTCAGCGGCGACTGTATCCTCGGAGAAGGCACGTCAGTCTTCGAGGATCTCCACGATTACATGCTGTCGCTGGATAAGATCCTGCAGATGCGGCCCAAGACGATTTATCCGGGCCATGGGCCGGTTCTAAACGATCCGTTGCCACATATACAGTATTACATCAATCACAGGAAGCAGAGAGAAGAGGACATTCTGCGGGTACTGGCAGAACATGGAAATGATAAGTCAATGACAGGAATGGATATTGTTAAGCTGATATACAAGGTAAACATCAATTAAAACATACTTGAGAACACATATACTTCTTTCCAAATTGCTAATTTACAGTTTCAAATCATATGAATGATATTTTTTTGCATAGGATACCCCGGAAAACCTGTGGATAGCCGCAGCATTTACAGTGAACCATCACCTTCACAAGCTACAAAAAGAGGGAAAAGTGTTACAGGAACAAGAAGGTGGTTGGTGGATAATTAAAAGCAAAATATGAATATATCATATGGAATATCTAGAAAATTAAAATTGAATATTTAAACTGTGATTATTTAAAATACAAATATTGGAGCGGAGAATTTATAAATTGCATCCAAATCCTGGCATTCGGAAAGCTGTAAGAAGCCCTAATTATATATTTTATATACATATATAAATTTTTATTAAAATATAAAGGTTTCACAACACAAGAAACTCTAATGATGCAAGATTACCTGGATCAATGGAAAGATAAAAAAAAATGGGAAAATTCCATGCTATTAATTGCACGCGATATACATAGTTGTGAAACATTTATTCAACTCACAGAAGTAAATAATGATACATTGTTATGAATTTCTCTCTGTCCAAGTTAGGCTGATAGCTAATTATCATTAATGTGCGCACAACGAGAAGAGTACACGTTTACGACAATTTCACGAATTATATATCGCAAGCGGCACAAGTTACCTTCCCTGTTTAGGCGAATCATTAGTCATCGCGTGCGACTACAGATACATTACAACGGTCAATATAAAATATATATAATATATATATATATATATGTATGTATGTATATATGCATGTATATACTTGGCTATAATGTTGCTGCCGCGACGCAATAAATGTTTCGTTATATTTTTCGTTATAAAATCTCTCTTTTCATCTACTAGCTACATAATCTTGGCGAATATTAGCACCCCTCGTCTTGAACATGTGGGGAATTACCCCGAAAAATTCGATGTCGCGATATACATACAAGGAATATCGCTAAAGTGCGAAGTATTGGAGAAAAATAATATGAGAGCTTAGGAAATCGATGGTTCAAGAACTTTTCAGCGTCTACGAATGCGAAATCCAGGATTTCAATAATATAGAAACTCGCAAATTCAATATTTTAAATATCTGTAGAAAGCCTGAAAATTTAAAATTTAAAAAATATTTGAATCTCAGAGAAATTTGAAATCTCATCCGGGATTTAAAAATTCGAAGATTTAAGAATCTAAAGATCTGGACATTCGTTGATCCATTTTTCGATACAATCCTGAGAGCTGAGAAACTAAGAATATTTATAAAAAAATCTAACAATTGATAAGAGAAAATGTAAGTAGGGTTTTGTATGACGCACTTTAGTTACATCCGGTATATAATAACTATGGACATATATCCTTATAATAAGCTCACTTTGTTACTTAATTCACCCTCTACTCTTTCTTTGGATAAACGTAAAAAATATATATTTATATAATATATATATTTATATATATTATTTCAACATACACACATAACATAATCTCTCTTTTTTTACACATACACGCGCGGGCGCACACTCTTATACTCAATACTCTTTCACTCTGTCATTTTTATTCGTCTATCAACTAATGATAACATTAACGCAATCACGTAACTCTATTATCATAATCGATATACTAAATAACAGAAAAGGAAAAGAAAACAAAAAAAAACTTAGATTATCGAACAATATACATATTCTACATTACGAAATATGTATTTGAGACACATGTAAAGACCACAGCGACGAGATGATCCATTCTTTCGCTATAAAATCAAATTAATAGTAATTTTAACCATGTTATAATTCATATAAGTAACCAATTTAGTATATACATATATACTTCTGCCAAATCCATTATTTTTTTCTGTCTTAGCAAGATTTTTTTTCATTAATTTTTTCGTTTAACTTCTTAATCCATTTCGTTCAGACTAAAATATTGATTAATTAAATTTACAATGTTACCATTAGATTTCAATGCACTATTTGTGATATACTTCCAAAGAGTATGACATTTGAAGAGATTAATAAATAACTAAATATTAAGAAACGAAGCAAACTAGCATCCTTCAAATATTTTTCTATAAAGACTATCAATAAAAGACATAAGATGTAAAATATAAAAAAATTAAAATAGAATATCAAGATTCAATAGAATTCAAAATAGCTTGCAATGCAAAAAAGTACTCAGCGAAGAGACATCGCCAAAAATAAATAATGAATCGTCAAGATAATCAACAACATTTATATAAGATAAAACATAAAAGGGACAAAGAGATGAAAGAGAAAAACATCCGATTTGTCGCCCTTTTTGGGGCCCGTCTTATACTTAAACATTAATAGTTCTCGATTTCTAATGAGCTGCCGCTGTGGACTTGCAGCGTTTCTCTCGTATGAATCATAGAAAAATCCGGAAGTATCTCCGAAAACTTTGGATGTTTAAGAAATTTGTTATACAATGTGCTTTGAATAGAAAGTCTACTAATCTCTCACAAATTGTTAAATAAACTTAATGAATTTAATTAAAATCAAAAGATTTTCAATAACTCAGAGATCAAATATTTCAGTATCCATTAAAAATGACAATTCACGAATCGAGCAATTTTGTAACTATTTCAGATATTAAAAATCTCGAGAAACGTTTATATATAATAAGGATGCGTTCGAGGAGTTGGCGCTAAAGGCTGTTCGCAGAGCTTGATGGTAGTGCTAACAAACGCAATTATTATTAGATCTAAATGTTTTTATAAGCATTTAACAAATTTTTTGCTCTAGGAACACTGGTTGGTAGCGTTAATAGCGTCTCTCTGAATGCACCCTAAATGTGAACCCCAAAGTTGACAAAGTACTTCTGCTTTTTCTTCTATAAAAATAATCACATGTTATAAATATAGCATAGAATCGTCGGCGTCAAATTAATATGATGATCCTGAAAATTAAGATTAATTTTGAATAGTCTGAAATTTAAAAAAGTAAATATCTTAAAAATGTTGTTTATCTTTTTATGAAAGAGGTTTCTAATTGTTCAAGCATTCTTGAATCTTTGTATCTCACATTTAACTAATTATTCATACAAGCCTAAACTCCGGCTTAGTTTACAATGATTCTTTAATATGTGTATTAATAATAAATTGGTACAATATATGCATCAAAAGGATATATCACAATAATATCTAATAGTATGCATATCAAATATATGTGTAGCATATTTACATATTAGATCATTTACTAAAAAATATTTTAGAAGGCAAGATTAATTGTTTTAATCACCTTTTCTATCAATTTTGTTGAGTTTTCAAATAAACAATTTTGATAAAAGCAACTGAGTTAAACTTTTGCACATTATTTTGATTTGCATATCAAAAAAATATACTGTGTAGACTAAGTCTCTATATTAACGTTGCAAACATTTTTCATAAACAAAGCAAGTAAAGAATTTTAAAATCAGACGGTTATGTATCTCCAGAGCTAAATGCAGGATACAAAGACAGATTTTAAACTTTTGTATTGTTTAGAAATAAAGTTAAAGAAAATTGAAGAAAATCACCTCTGCCTCTGGCGAGGAACGCGGCAGTACTACAAGAGGAATCCACTTTGTGGAAGTTGCTCAAAGCAACTGGGATTGATGTAACTCAGAAGATCGTGCTCCGACATTGAGGTGAGCTCTTGAGGCAGCATCCCATCCTCCGGCTTTCTGTTGACCGCGGTACTCGCGGCGGGATTGGGAATTGGGGCATTCACAGCCTGGCGATTTGGAGTGACCGGAAGTGCGACCGGTGGTGATTTGCTAGTGACCTGTTCGACGATATTGTTTTGCGCCGACGGAGATTTCGGCAAAATCACTTCCATTGTATTGTTCATCAGTTGCGCGCTCTGTGTCGCTACGCTATTCAGAATATTTTTTGTAGCGATGATCGCGTGAGCGGTGGTCGTCGTGATAGGCCGATTATTGATGATGTCCTTCGTGGCGTTGGTGATGACGTTGTTGATGGCTTGTTCAGCCGCAGTGGTTAAACGCTGCTGACAGGGTTCCTGAGCGGCTCCGCTGGCTAAAGCGGAACTAGCTTCCGCTACAAAACCTGCGGGCTGATTCAACATGGAGCCGATGTCTTGCTGAAC